ATGGATGATTCTTGGCAATTAGTTCATTGACTAAAAAGTATAGATGAATAAAATTAAATAAAATTAGACTTTCCACATTAATTAAAAATAAAAAAAGTATGAATTTAACTTACTAGGAACAGGTAGTTTGAGTTTATAGTATAAAATGTGTAAGAGTTTGTTTATTAGAACGCACTAAAAAAAAGGAAAAAGAAACCCTCCAAAATTTATATTTTGAAGTAAAACGTTTTTTATATGAAAAAAGTTGTATTCACTATGGCTTAGAAATTTTATGTTTCATTTGATCAACCATTTTTGCAAACGGCTAAGACCATAAAGTTTTATATTACGCACAATTGCATGACTATCTTTTTTCTCAGTTAATGAGCTACATCATTAAAAATTTTTTTTTTATTCGAGTACGAGTGTACGACTATGAAAATTCATTTATTTCATTCATATTTCATGATCTCTAACTAATGATCAAAATTATATATCATCAGGAGTTTAAATAGGGTGTGAATTTACGAAACTATACACATATAAAACAACACGTTGAATCACACCTATGACGGGTATATACGAAGCTGCAAATTTGCAAATATTATTTAGCGATAGTATGCTTTTGGATGATAAATTTCTGACGATCATCTTCCAAATTTATTCACTTTTTCGCTTAATTTGTAGTTTGTCATACGATTTACATGCATTTTTTCATAATTTCGGAAATGCTCAATGTGAACTTTTTTGATTCAATTTTATATAGCTATATATATTGCTAATTGCAATTGCAATTGCAATTGCAATAGCTATATAGCTATAGACGTTGTTATTGCAATATTGCTTCTTTGATATCATTAGAATAAAATTACAAAATATTCATTTTTGTGCCACTTTCGCTACATATTAACTTGAGGCATCAAACAATAAGTTTTATATTTGTATTTGATTTTGTTGATCTTTATTGATTTTCAATAAAAATAGATTCAAATATATTTCTTTTTCGTTAAAAAAATTGAAACGTGTAGATGATCATGTAGATCTTGTGATAATCAAAATAAAAAAGTGTTAGACGAAAATTTTTTTCAAAAATTTTTCTTTTTTTATAAATTTTTTTACATTTTTTTCTATTTGTAAGATTAAATATTTGGATATTACATAATC